CTTCTTTTTACACAGCTCTTTTCAGAAAACCTTGAACACTGACCTCTTCAACGCGATCTAACCTCCCAATTGGCCAGATATGGTCCCTCGATGAGAGTTCCTTCAACGGAACCCAAGTCTACTAGACCTTCCACCCGAACACTTCCCGGTTACCTTAGACGCCGTGGTTTTGGCGGCAACAATTTGGATGCCTATTGTCGCTATTCAAGTACTGGAGCGCGAAGGGCGATTTGAGAATTCGACAGCAGTAAGGTTGTTACAAATTGATCAGGCAATTTCCTGGCATCAGGCGATGAAATGTTTGAATTATCATGTTCGTGGAATAGCAGTCGTCTGGTCTGGAGTACATGGACCCACACTGTTGAGTAAAGGCGATTGGGTGAAACAACAAAGCACCAGTAAACCTTCACTGCGACAACACCGCGTGTTTATATAGCACAATTTGCTTCCAGGTACATGTTAACCGTTTGCAGTTCGGCCGTCGCATAATTATACGCTTCGACAAAGAGATAGCCCAGAAACTGTCTATTTCAAATTTTCCGCTAGCTACCATCTAGCTGTGGTAGCTCTGTTATCCCCAGTAGCCGGCAAAAGAAGAACATCAACTTTCGGAAGCCACATTGTCAGCCCCCTGACGTCGACATAATTGCCCTTGCAGTGTGCAACTTCCAACTCTTTTGCGCACAGTTAATCGACCCATTCTCCGTCAGAGTCAGCCCTCAATTACCCCCTTAACGGCCGGGTAGAAATCCAAAAAAAACTTTGTCTCGTACTCAGAAGGAAGTGAATAGCGAATTGTAGAAGTGCTGCATCAGCAGCCCAGTAATTGTAGTCTAAACCGTAGCCTGAGTGTAATTTGTACAGTGCTTATCTCGCCTGAAAGCTCGTCGACGACGGCTCCACTACGAACAACACCGGAAACCATCCTAAGCTCGATGATCAGGGAAGCAAGCGGAAAAGCAAAGCAGCAATAGTAAACTGCATTACAGCAGATCGTTGATCTCAACTCCAGTTTTGCATTAAGAATTCCGGAAAAAAGGAAGAGTTTTGGCTCCACCTTTGCTCAGAATTCACAGCCCCGAGGAGGCGGTTATACAGAAAACACTTCGATTCAGCTTGGTAGGAGCAATTTCATGTCACTTTTATTCATGAATGGCCGAAATTTCGAAGTGAGGAAGGATGTTATGTGGTCGAAAATGGGGTTGCGTCCCATGCGCATGGTCCGTTCATCAGCGATCAGATCTCTCGCTTGCCATCAGAGCCTTCTACCACTCTCTACCCCATCGGCTGGCCCGTGACAACCTTGTATGGGCTTGGTCACATTTGCCTGCCACTTCGACCTGATAGTATGCGTGGCGCATTTCTGGAGGGAACTGTCAACTCCGGTTGCTTTATCTTTATGGTTTATAAGAGATAAAATGATAGCTATTGCTGAGGGCACAGCTCAGTGATTTGTAGAGCCCACAACCTCCTAAAAACAGTCGATTGAACGGAGATTAGGCGTCGAGTCTCATAAGCATTACATATCAAGTTATCAGACCTGTTAGTACTAATTCAACAGCTTTTTAGATTTTTAACGGCAGCTTCAGACAATGTCCGTTGATTGCATGCCTTATTTTGTACTTATATTGAAGGTTTCTGCAGATAATCATCGCTGAAGTACCAACGCATTGCAGACATGTGAGCACTTTAAAAGAAATAGGAAAAACTGCAAACAATATCAAGATAGCCAAGCAGATAACGAGCTAGTCGACCACGCACGGATTACGGGATCATCAAGTGATTCAGAAGCACTTCTGAAGAAAAGGGCACATCGATAACGGTGAGAGGCTCATCACACGTCTACCTGGAGAATATGCAATCTCAAAAAAGCGGTCTCTTGTCACCGCGTTACCTGTGGTAAGGGACGTGAGGTACGTCAATTGAAGATCTTGATGAAGGAAAGGGCTATGTAACAATTCTCTCCGTAACAAATACACAAAGGTTCCCAAAAGCTCGACTAATCAGCACCAATTGTGCTATACAGGGGTGGCCAAAAAAAAGAGACACTTTGCCCATGGCGCACATCATCGAACTTTTCGTCGCACAGGGAGCCGTTAATGAAAGTTTTACGGCGAATATTCCTTAGGTGTTCCCCGTAAACAGAAGCAGGCCCTCCTTCACTGCCCCCACCGTCTTCAGAATATGACGTCATCTGCCGTCACCGTCGAGCTCAACGAGGCTTACCGTAATCGCTCCGGCCTTGCTACATAATTTCTTCAATGGATTAACTGTTGAATAGCTTCCCAGAGACATTAGCTGTGACTATGCAAACCGCTTTTGACCAGCGTTTCAGAGACGTCGTAATCGTCTATGGTACCTCGACGACCTCGTTGAGCTCGTACCGTGAACATGTTTCCGTGGGAAAATCTTCTGATGTCGTCGGTGTAGAAGGCTGTTGTGTAGCTTGTTGATAGATTATAACGTGCTCTTCAATATTCAGTTGGGTCATTTGGTTTCGCAACGCGTAAATAATTCCGTTTTGAATGTGAGTGAAGTGTCTCTTTTTTGGCCACCCCTGTATATGAAGACATCAATACTGAAGCAACAACCTTCAACGGGAGTCCTGTCGAAGAATCTATTCATGAGATAGAGTAACCCACAGGTATCACAGATGTGCTGTTGTCGAGGCTCGACAGTGCGCGACAATGGCGCTAGGGTCTCACAAAGTGAACTCATAGGACTTGCCTTAACGTATGGACGAGTTACATCGCGCACGCCCTATGACACGCAACGTGGATTACGGCGTAGCAGCTGACTCAAATTCGCGGGTTGTGTAGTGAGGCCGATGGAGCAAGCAAGCTGGTACAACTCGTCCGTCGTGCCCTCTCTTTTTAAGGGGAATCCTTGCTTTAGCGCTTCATCGACGTTTTTTTTGCTTCTTTTTTTTTCATTTTGAGTCAAGTCGACATCCACACTAATCAATCGCTGTGACCGCACAAATTTGATCTGGGATCGGTGTTATAAGGGGGCACAAACCAATTGAGGGGGACATCTAGATTTTATGGTTCACTAAGCATAGTAAGGGAGAAAAGTTCGGTGAAACTCCAGTTCGGGGGGGCCACTCCATTGCTATCTTATCCGTAGTACTAGAGAGCAGTTCTTTGGGCTATCGAACACTACGGATAAGATAAAGTGAACGACTCATTTCGAGCGTACTTTTGATAAGGACCGGTGGATGTCCTACATTCCACACTACCTGCCCACATCCCATCCACTTTTCTGCACAGGTGATCCACCCTGGAGCTCCTGCACCCTTAGCCCTTTGCGGAGGTGTCCTTTCTCCTGGTCCAGGACCGTTCCCTTGGGTCATGGCAGGCGGAAATGTGAAAACGTTTCAGGGTTTCTCACCCATTACACCAATATTTATCAGAAGTCTACTTTAAATGAGTCGATTACGTGTCGTGAGCCCTCTAATCCTTATCTTGAGTATTGGAGAAAAAATGGAGTGGCCCCCCCGAACTGGAGTTTCACCGAAAAGTTCATGCATAATGACCACCAAATCAGGTGCGTTCATAGTTCACTACTTCGGAAATTAGGATAGCAAGCGACCGCTGGAAAGGTCCAGAAACCGTATCGATTTAAATGGCTGGAGAGTAGTAGACCAGGCTCTTCAGACAAATCGATCAGTACGTACCTAATCTTATCAAAAATATCCAACTGTACTACTGTCCTGATCTACCCATCGCCTACTATACCTGAGTGCGCGCATTCATAGTCAGTCGCCGACCTTAAGGCCGATGTCAGACTTTGCGAATCGCGCGATTCGCTAGCGTCCGCGGTCGCGTTGCGGTACCAGCCAATTGAGTGATTCACTGGCCGCGACGCGACCGCAGACGCTAGCGAATCGCGCGATTCGCAAAGTCTGACATCGGCCCTAACAATGCACGAGCATGAGATACGATATCGATCGTCAAATCCACCAAACACGCTCCAACGATCGATGCGAGCATCCAATGAATGCGCCCTAACTCTAATTCGCGAATTAGGAACGCGGCCTTAAACACCGATCTTTGAGCTGGTCCTAATAATGAGTGTGACTAGCCCGTGACCCGCCAAATGAAGGTGTCTCATCCAACTAATTCTGCACCGTTTAATGGTCCCCAGTGGTCATTATAAAGGCAAAAAACGCCTTCTAAACCTACAAATGGAGGTTGCATGCGTTGTGCACAATGTAATCGCCAACAACTTCCTGCTGCAGAACGAATCCCAAAGTTCTTTTTTAAAAATTATTAGGTCATAAATAATTATGAGTATACGCCATGACAGAAGTGACCTTTTCAGGGTGCTCGTGCGCAGAACGTTTCCTGAAGGCATTTAGCTGGAAGTGAACGGAGTAGAGGGCGGAAGCCTTTAAGAAACTTATAGAACGGCTGGATGATGAACGACTCAACAAACAATCATACGGATGTCAAGGAGTAATCAAGAGAGATTAATGCGGATGGAAACGACGTGCACGGAAGAAACCCTTAGACACGTACGAACGAGTTAACGACGTGATACAACATGATAAACGATGGGCAATTGACGGGTGTGGGAACAATACGATCATCATTCGCCTATGAATCGCAATGGCTTCACGGTCGGCAAAGCTTTGCTTGTTCAGGTTCGTTATCGATTGAATCCTGTGGCCTGCGAAATGGCGCGAAATCCCGCCAAAATCTTCTTTGTAAAGTCTCTATTGGAAGTAATTTGACGCGTGCGAGGCTGAGCTCTTCAAGATTTTATAGCGGATAGCGAGTAAATGGCTCAAACTATTCGGTCCGCAACAGAGATCGATGACCCGAAGAATTTTCCTTGCCATCAAATTCTGTTCCGTGCGCGTCAATCGATACTTATGATTTGAGACTGCGTTTTCTGGTAGATCATATCTTGACATATCAGTGTTTATTTATTTCCCTTCGAGAATTCGGCCGTACAACGCCACCGCACAAAATTGTTTTTCAAGAGAAGTTTGCCCTTTACGGAATCTCGTTTAAGGACTATAAAACTTGTATAATAAAGTTTAAACGAATGCCTAATGCATTCTCTCTCACTCTTAAAACACGCTCACGATCAGAGCCTACGTCAAATAGGAAGGAATAGGAATGCCCATGAAATAGGATATAACGTTAACGTATCGTGTAATAATATCGCTATCAACTACACTAGTGAACCCTTCCTTTCCTTTTTCATTTTTTCTCTTCCAAGCACTCCAACGTGGAGAAGGGGTTTGTGGGGGGGGGGGGATACGACCGAATTGTGTCTATTCACCAACCACAGATGCCAAGCGCGATCTTAGGCCACGATCACACTTTGCGATCGTGCGATTTGGCGATTTTGTAATTTTGTGGGAAAGATATGTATCGATCATGCGGTTGCATGACTGCAGAATTGCATGTTCGATACGTATCTCCTCTACAATCGAACTACAAGAAGGTTGTATAAAGCATGACCGCGGCCTTGGATAAAGCGAAACCATGTAAAAATTCGAAAAGAATGGCAGCAAATGAAATAAAATGAGTTGATTATGAGATGGTCCATCTCAAAACTGTTCGGCCACGTGATGATCAGTTTAGAGATGGACCATCCCAGGTTGTAACAAACGGAAAACGAATGTCAGCCAAGCAGCCAGGTGGTTAAAAACTTAATTGGTATGTGGCTACGAAGACTTCGCTCTTGACGGAAATTTGGGAATGTCTCTTACATGCTCTGAAACATTTTGCAGCTCTTCCACTAACTCAAGGGAATATTCATTTGAACGATTCTCGTCGATAACCTCTATTTCTATTTTCCTTAATCGTCAATAATCTCTCGATTTCCCCTTCACCGCTCAATTGTTACTCTTTTTCTTGGCCTTTGTATGTGAAGGTCGTCACTAGACTTTTTTTGTTGTGCTAGTTACATCAAATGAAGGCGCTTTCTGTAGTACATCCTCATGAAACAGATGCCATGTTTAATATAAATCAAATAAACGTTTTCGGTTGCTGTTTAGTTTTATGAGCGAAAGTCATGCGCGTGAAGGAGGAATGTCCGTGAGGAAAAAATTCTCAATGCACTTTCTACTGCGTTATTAATGGAAATTGAACGCGTGGCTCATCTTGAAGGAATCGATAAACAACGTCGAATCACTTGGTTAACACTTTGAAGACCGCGCACGTTTCACGTATTGCGGCCGCTTGCGACTTCAATGGATTATTTTAGGAATCTTATCAAGCGAATTGGGAGCAAAAACCTAACTCAGAGGAAATCTTAGTAAATGTGATGGAAAGAAAAATACAAAGAAAAACTGAACTTTTTTTTCAAAATCTGGGACATAAGGTCCCATACGGGTAACAGACTACAGCCCACATATGGGCTGCATGGGCTCCAAGGTGTCAATAATGAAGGTGAATTAGACCCATCATTTGCAGAAAAAAGAAAAATTTCAAAGCTGCAGATTGCAGTGAAGTACTGGCGCATAAAATTGGGAAGGCGCTAAGTTTGTCTAGCGCCCAAGGATATGGTAGGGTTTTGCCGACCTATTGAAGTTACATCCTCGTGGCGCTACCAGCTATGGGCAAAATTTCAACAATTTTTATGGAGATTTTGAGGCTGTAATAGCAGAATGGAATCGAAGTTTGCTTAAGCGGTGCATAAGATGCGCTTTGGGAATTGTCCTGGAATACATGTGACAAAAAAGGAATGCACGAAGACAGAGTTTCTTTTGCAACGCTATCCATTTTGGCTAGCACACTCACTCAATTGGCGGGACTTTTACATAATTCGCCGAATAGAAAAGGGTGAAAATAGAAAAAAAAACTATGCGAAAAAAAGACAAAAGGCTCGAAGGGATAATGGCGTGGAGCAAGGCTGAGAAGTGCTGAAAGACTGAACTGGCAATTACGTGGATCTATTTTGCCGTAAGTTCTAGTCATGAAGTGAAGAAATTAAATCTAGAACAATTATGTACTCAATCACTCATTCGAAAAGGCAGCGTCTACCTTCCGTGTTTGGGAAATCTTCAATCTTTCTGTCCTACCCACGGCGATTGAATTTGTGGAGTGTTGGGCAGCCCGGATGTGACGCTCACGATGACACAGGGACGTAAAACTTCATTACTTGCCACAAGACGTGAATGATGTCATCCGTTTCCATTCATTTCTTCAAGCTTATCAAATCAGTGGCATAAATCTGCGGTGTTTAGTCCTTAGAAAGCAGGCCCATGTCCATTCAAGTCGACAGTCGGCTGGTTCCTTAGCCGTGTTTGTCGTCTGCAGTTGTGACAAGCAAACTATCAATGAGGTGAAATTCAGTCCAACCTTTCTACGCATTCGATTTTCTTTCAAAATTACATAGGCTTAGCGATCTCTGATAAGTTATGAACGATTCACTCCAAAATGATCGATGTAGGTCAATTCCTTTGTGGTGCGCCACGCATGATTTCCACTGGAGATACGAATTTGTCACCTCCACGACCACTGTATAGCGAGTGATTTCCAGAACACGGTTTTTCCTGTTCTAGACAATCGTTACCATCTTCTCGACCTTGAAGTGTGGTAGATTTAGTTGGTCTGGACCACCAAACTACGGAGGTCAGTTACGACGTCTCTCTATCACCCAGCTCCTGCAAAGGTATGGTACCAATGAGAAAGGAGCAGATGTTAAACCGCGAACCACTAAGCTGAAGCCAATCATAGTGCTAGCCCCAAACTTAAGCATGTCTTATTGTTTTGTAAACCTTGAAATGGGCTAAGGCTTGTCGCGCATAAAAGCGATTTCTATTTTTGATAAAGGGGCGTACCCAAACGTCATAATGGTCTACATTTGTTGCTCTTATAAGATCCGTGAGGGTAAACCCTTTCTACTCTTTAACCCTAAGCTTTTGAATCTTCAAAGATACTATGGAAAAGTTCATGTGAGGGACCCTCGTAAATGAACGCGTTGCCGATCACGCTGGAAATAGAGGTCCGGTCATTGTGGCAAGCGTTAACCCCGTTTGAATTGAACTAAAGAAGGATTCGACCGACCAAGACATTACGCAGATCGATAAGGTGCTTCGTTTCCGCAAATTCATAACGAAATCCGTTTGATGGCGCAGCTTCAAAGGCAATTTGTGGTTGCTGCTGCCTCGAGATTGGCGCGCTCACCAACCTAATTCTGAGCGAAGGAGCTGCCAGCAAGCAGTACGGGGAAAGATATCCACGTATATTCGCTCGTCTTCGCTTTGGGGACTCTAGATGTTCTGCTTGTGGCATCCATTTGCAAGCCCTTTTTGAATAAAGTAGTACTGTTTCTTCACTTTTTATACATATTCGCAAGAGACAGCTATACTGGGGTCCCGCTAACGGATTGTGGTGCAGAAGAATTCCTTGGCACCATGAGCAAAGATAGAAAAGCACTTACAATGGTGTAAGAGTATTGATTCGTAATAGGATAAATGTTTACAATCAAGAGCAACTGCCTCAAAGGTTATTTAGGCTAATAAACAAGCCTAGAAACATTCAGTTTACAAGCAAGGTATAAGAATAACATAAAACTGAAACATATTCTGGACTGGAATCAGGAAGACAAGCAGAGCTTTCTGCATTTTCCATCATATTCTATACCCTCCTATAGATGGCGACCGCGACGCGGCCGCACTTGGCGGGTCCCGTTCCGCACCATTGCACATACTTGGGACAGATTTCAATGAGCCCTGATGTCTTCGGTTATGTACTCTATCAGTTTTTGAACTTTAGGACTTTGTAACAACCTGAGCGAATTTCTAAACACGCCTGTATGGCAGTACACTTACCAGATCTGATACTGCTAGTGAGAATATGAAATAGTTGGACGGATGACGAATGTTCTTGTCGAGGTAGTATGAGAGTAGTACGGCTAAATTACCGACCACTGTCACAATTGACAGTACGGCCATCGCGATGGCCCACAACACCGAACCAGCATCGCTCATCGTTCGCGCATAGCAGCCATAGCAGGGCCCGAATTAAAGGTGGATGAACGGGATTGAGAAGTGTGCGTCTCAACACGAATAGAACTACTCTGTAGAGTGTGATACGTGAGAAAACGCGGACGGCTTCTACATAGAAGCTGTCCGGACACTACTAACTCTCCTCTCTCGCACCCTTACTCGCCACATGGCCACGCCTCCATCTTCAAGCCAACGCCCGCCCCCTTGTGAACGGGCACTGCCGGTATTGCGAGATGCTCGGTCCCGGAGGTGGAGCGACGATAGGTTTTGAATTACCGCCAAAACGCTCCGCATGGCGTGCGCGTCTGAAGGAGTTTTTGCTCGCTGCGTTGCTGCCCGTTGCTGTGGTTTACGGAGGCGCTCGCGCACGCTTTGCGGGCATCCACGCAGTTTTGGCACATAAACGAAGCGTCGCGGTAGGTAGTTGCGCGGTGCGTCATCATGACGGTTTTCGGTGATTTTCGGGCTTTTCTCGTGGTTTCTTCATGTTCATCTTTTCGAGGTGATTCAAAATGAAGGAGGACTGTTCTGTTGCCTTGAACACGTGAGGAGTAAGGGTATCAAGTTGTGTAGTGCGGTTTCCGGTATGATTTCTGTGAACTGTTTTATATCCTCGCAAATAAACGTGAAGATTGTAAAGGGTTTGGAAGGAGTCGCTGTATAAATTGGATTCAGTATGTTAAGGTGTTTCGTAACACAGGATTTGTTTTCAGAAGCTACAGTAGTTTTCACAGTTGTTTGTACGCTTTGGTAATGTGATAGTACAGAAAACGAATGACATAATGGAGGGATTCATAAACGATAGAATGTTTTCGTGAGGTACTGTTTTCATGTATTCAAGGAGTGTAATGCTTCAATACGAAATATCGCGAAGTGTTTACCAGACTTACTAGTGAAAGAGTATGATTTTTTTTATTATCGAAACCGCAGTGATTGGATGTATCTGTGGGAACATATGGAACGGTGTCAAAATAAGAATACAAGTTAATTTGTTTGCAATATGCTACAGCTAATGTTTTTTTCTTTGAACAGAATTTTCGGGTTCGTAATAAACGGAGCACGAGATATTATAGTTCGTACTAAACTACCTTTGCAGGAGGGGAAGTCCCTAGGTAAACTATTTCGATTCCGCTATTACACTTACCCTGAGCTTCTTCCTTGCGAAAGTCGAGTTTTTGTATACGGCAGGAAATGTTGTACTTCATGCCTTTCCTCATTTAGAATAGACCCGAGTCTTATTGAAAGCCTTGCTAGGTTACTAGGTTCACGTTTCGTAAAAAATGGTTCGTGCTTACCATGGAAATGTTGACTCGATGAAATAAATGTTAGACTTGTTCGATATTTCGTTGAGCCACAATTGGTACGATAACATTTCGAATAACTTCACTCAGTACACAACTCGTGTACATTCCCGCAGTCGCTGGAGTGTTGTGTGGATATCTGTACGTATTCTAATTTATTTTTGAAGGGCCCTGAAAATATGTCTTTATTCGGACAGTTTTTCTTCTAATTTGGTTTTTTGAATGGATCGTCGGCCATTGAGCTCAACGACAATAGCAAAAGCTAGTGTAGATTACCGGGTGACGTACAAATGGATGCGATGAGCATTGTTGAATCGGTTGCAGATTTGCTTCTCACTTTAGCGGAAGTGAACTTCTTCAGTCTTTTTGATATCGGCACCTTTGCTTAGTTGCGGTAAACCTCTTGAATTCATTCACTTGATATTTTTACGATAGGAACTCATAAGTCGACTTTGACGTTTCTTTTATTTTCACAAACAAAGGAAACATGCTTGTATTTAATGCTATGAAGTCTCCGACCGAAAGCCCTAATCAGTCATGTCTGCTAATGTCCTACTTGTTACCACATTTAGGAGCCGTTCACTCTTACTTTCCGTTCACTCACTCTTTTGATCGGGATGGGCGTCTGGTGATTCTGCTTCATGAGCTGTTCCCCTGTTGTTTTTTTTTGAACTTCCTACCCCCATTGTAGTTTTTGATCACGTCGTAGGCGGCTTAATCTTTTAGGTTGTCTCATAATTCAGTGAATCACTTTACATTTATTGCTTTAAAAATTCAAGAAAGAGTGGTTAAAGGCGTGAAACATGTTTTGCGAAGTAGCACCCACTATTTGGTCAACCCATTTACACGCTGCCTTACATGGCTATTACATCAATGTTTCTACAACCTATTTTTGAGCTTCCTTCTTCCTCACTTCAGTCTTTCAAACGCCAAACAACATAGTGGATCAACCAGCAGATAGGCGAGGACACACTCCTTCAATCCACGGTTCACTCTATTCCGGATTTGGCTTTTTCATTTGAAGATAACCCACACTCCACTACCCCTGTGGCAATCTTGCTGCTTTATCCAGCGCCACTGAGACTGGATCTGGACGAAGTAGTCGCTATTTGTCAGTGACTTGTTGGGATGGTGGAATCTAGGCATTTTCGTAGAGTCGTAAAGAATTCTAATATGGAATTTGTGTCTCACATGCTCTGTGCCCGAATCACCCTCGAACACGATCTGACATCATCATGTTCTTTTGATTTCCTAGAGTTCCTTTCAGTGATCGTCCTGCATATTCACCAGTGTTGTAGACTGGGTGGAGTGTGCTAGCAAATCCATAGGAACAGTAGCCTAGCTCAAGCGATTCGGGAGTTCTGACAGCAAGAGCACAACTGGTGGTGGTGAATTGGTGAAACACGAAAGGAACCCTGCGCTGGAAACCGCCGCCTCAGTAATACTAGAGTCAGTGAAGAAGGCAAACGTGGACAGCATAATGGCAACGTGTTCAATTTGAAAGTAAAGCAAGACAAAGTCTGCTTTTTTTCTGAGGTCGTTCGACCCACCTTGGGTAGAATATTCATAAAAATTGGAGACTCTCAGGCTAACAGTTCTTTCAGCTTCGTTGTGTAGCACTATCCTCGTACCAGCTAAGGACAACTCAGTCTGAGCTCTAGCACTCTTCCCAGGAAGAAATTTTACGCTAAGTGATATGACCTCAAACCCGACTTCCAGTCTTTCTTCGTTCAAGAGCTCCTGGCAGTTTCAGAGGAAAGACAGCGACTAAATTCCCATGAATAGGCAATACATTATAGATGACAGAGGTGTATGTTTGGATGAGCAAGGACTCGAATAAAAAAGAAAAAAGGTGCTAAGTGGGTTGGGGGGGCACGCGGCGGCGCGGCGCTCTGTTCGTCTGCTCCTCTAAGGCTTAGTCCAAGGGGCAGTTACTATTTCGTCGCCACGTGGCAGTTTCGAAATACGCGCCATCGGCGGACTAAGCCTTGGAGGAGCAGACGAACAGAGCGCCGCGCCGCCGCGTGGTCCCCCCCCCAACCCATTCAGCACCGAAAAAAATTGGATTCTAAAATACCCAAAAAGATTTACCAATTATGGGACAACCAATTATATGAAGATGGCTTTTAAATACTTATCCATTCTTACAGTTAAGTTCGGCAATGCAATACGTATTTGTTTTTCAATTACCCAAATCTGTGGAACTCTAGAATATGTTTACTTTTCATGTAACACTACTTAAACGTTTCATGTAGCTTCAAAAAGTAGAGTCATTGTTAGAACAGTGGCGATTCGATATCAGTCTCCACTCAAACCGTACCAGCCTCTGTACTCCTTCCTCCACATTAAGCTTAATTACACCTTCGGTAATAGCTTGGCGGGGTGGCGAACAGCGAGTGAATGGAATAATATAAACTGCAAAGTCGATTATTGAATAAAACATTAAGGAAACAAGCCTCTTGATACAACGGGGTTTTCCTCATACCCTACGCCTGATACTACCATGTGAATAAATTTCAAAACTTACTGGGATATTTTTCATGTCCGCGAAATCAATGAGGTGAATTGTTGTGAAATGTGTGTATATGCTGCCCATTCACAGTCGTGAGCTCGTGATCGCGTTCATGTGATGCATCTTTGTATCTGCTGTGCACTTTTTTGTTGCTGTCCTTTGGATAAACTATAGATGAAATTCAGTGGAATTCGTTTCAGTTTGGATTCGAAGATTCAATGTGTTCACTCCCGGGTAGCAGCTCTACAGAAGGAACACAAGGCAGTATTCATTAAATGGTATTTCATAAGAGGAAAGGTATGTTGCATACACCCTACTTTTCATTTTATTTTATGCATTTTGTTTGATATTGCTTGGGTCAACCAAGCCTCCCATTCCTCCGTGGTCGGTTAATTGGTACCAGACTTGTCTAGGAGGATAACACTGACTTGTACATCGGGTGGCCCCTGCAAGTCATTGCGGGGCACCCGATGTACAGGATTGGGTCAGCGCCAAAATCGCACTCAAACGACACTACGAACTATATCATATGGAAATAGAAGCGATGCCGTAGCCAAAAAAGCCATGCGCATATTGTTAGTCATTTGACTGCCAGTATCAAATAATGAGGTGGGTGTAGTTTCGATATGCGTGTCAGGTGCTTTGATGGCACAGTTTGTAGCAGTTGTTAGTGAGGCTCATTTGGGTCTCTTATAAGTTATATGTTGCTCTTTTGTGCATGTTTTCGCCTCAGTTGAGTGCTCAGAATCCGTAGCGATAGCGAATTTATTAGAATTCGTAAAAATAAGCGGCGTCTGGTAAGACACCAAACGTGAGCTCGGTGAGCGTGTGCCTCGGCATATTTTTTTAAACATTTTTTATTCAAAACCAATATCACTATCCCTTCAAAAAAATCCATAACTAGTCAATAGTGCCACTATTTTCTGGATTGGTAATGTAGACGTGCCGATTTGGAACATGAAATACATTTATGATTTCCGTTGATGTTCTCAACTTGATATTTCAATTTGATTATTCTCGCTGGCAAATATAGTGAACGCAGATTTCTGCAGTGAAATCTTGGGAAGCCTTGGACGCTGAGTGGCCACTTAATTATTGTTTGTTATTGAGTGCGTTTTGTTCCACCTTCTTATACAAAATAGTCAAATGGCCAGGACCCATAATTTGGC